TGAAGGCATCATTGTTATATGAGGGTTAGGGTTCTTGTGCTGACTCGTTGTGAGGGAACATTTTCGTGCTGATTTTGCGTGTAGCTTAAAATAAGACGTAGCTCATAGTTGCGTGTAGCTTAAAATAAGACGTAGTTCATAGTTGCGTGTAGCTTAAAATAAGACGTAGTTCATAGTTGCGTGTAGCTTAAAATAAGACGTAGCTTAGAGTTGCGTGTAGCTTAAGGGGAGCGTCTCGGTCAAAATCGAAAATTTTGACTTTTTCGGTTTTTATACTCATTTTAAAGCTTACATTCTGCCTCATCTAACGGTACCAAAACCATCTCTGTACGTTGATTTATGTGTTCACGACAGATCGCGAAAGGGTTAGGGGTGGTGGAGTTCCTTAACATTTAATATAGGCCTAAATTACCGGTAGCACACTTAAATAGCTAGTCTGAACACGCTGTGCTTCAGTTATCCGCCTGCAGTCATATGGGATGGCTCTCGTGCCGTCGTTCGCACCATCCTTGACAGAAATTGAGCTCCAATATCTTGTAGTCTTGCAACCCTGCACCCTTGAATGACTTTTTCGAGGCGCGCGCGACTTTGTCGGGCCCTACTGAAAAGTTAACTTATTGTCACTGCAAACCTATCTCCTCCTAGAGTTTTGAAGCTACATCAATGAGACATATACCGTTCGATTTGCAAATGAAAGATCTACAAAATGATGTATTGGTTTTTCTAAGTTCGTAATAGTTCGGATTTTATGTTGCAAAAAGGGGGGGAAAGTGGAGGTAAAATCGAAAATTTCAAACAATTTCGGACAAAATGCTCCCACACTCACAAAAATGAGAAATTCAAAAAACCAATACATCATTTTGTATATGTGGTCTTTACGTATCGAATGATATGTGTCTCGATGTTGTAGCTTGAAAATCCTTGGAGGAGATAGGTTTTCTAAAGTACCCCTTTTTTTTCGTTTTCTAAGAATTTCACGTTTTCTTTCAATTTTTTCGAAAAAATCACATGAACAAAAATGTCTTAGAATTCTGTTTTACATATGTGTACCAAATTTCAGATTGATCCCTCTGTAAATTACTGAGATAAATTTTTAGGGAGACGCTCCCCTTAAATAAGACGGAACTTATAGTTGTGTGTAGCTTAAAATAAGACGTAGCTCATAAATGCGTGTAGCTCAAAAAAGATGTAGATCTCACTTGCGTGTAGCTCATCGCTACGTGTAGCTCATTGCTACGTGTAGCACATTGTTAGGTGTACTTCATTGTTAGGTTAAGCCCACTGTTACATATAGCTCATTACAGTTTCTGGTGACGAAGCCTCAGGTCAGACCGCAGACCGAGGGGGCGGGTCAACCACGAGGGCGCCCGTATCGCGAAAACAACGCATGCGCATAGTGCGCATGGGAGCGGCGCCGTGCGGGAGCGTTGCGTATGGAGTTGTTTGTAGAGCCGGCGAGCTTGCGCGTGCCCACGCATGCGCACACACCTAACTCAATTTCGTGGGTTAACATCGTTGATTTGCTTGGTGGCGGCTCGCCTTATTGGAATTTATGTGATTCTACATCTGATTTAGTAATTTACTCAATTAGTTTCAATTATAGTCATTTAGTTAATTAGTTTCACTATAGTCATCATATTTGTATCAATCTTGAAAGTTAACATCGTTGATTTACTTGGTGGAGGGTCATGATAATGGAATTTATGTGATTCTACATCTGATGTAGTAATTTACTCGATTAGTTTCAATTATAGTCATTTAGTTAATTAGTTTCACTATAGTCATCATTTGTATCAATCTTGAAGGTTAACATCGTTGATTTACTTGGTGGCGGGTCGCTATACTGGAATTTATGTGATTCTACATCTGATGGAGTAATTTACTCAGTTAGTTTCAATTATAGTCATATAGTTAATTAGTTTCACTATAGTCATCATTTGTATCAATCTTGAAGGTTAACATCGTTGATTTACTTGGTGGAGGGTCATGATAATGGAATTTATGTGATTCTACATCTGATTTAATAATTTAGGTACTCAATTAGTTTCAATTATAGTCATTTAGTTAATTAGTTTCACTATAGTCATCATTTGTATCAATCTTGAAGGTTAACATCGTTGATTTAATTGGTGGCTGATCACCATACTGGAATTTATGTGATTCTAATATGTTCTTTACAATGTTGTAAAGCTTGTGACCTACCAAGCGCTATTGTCGTGGTAAACCACACTATTTTGATCCCGCCCACCAAAACTACTTAATGGTATGCAACAAATCAAGAAAGACACAATGAAAGTTTATAAAAATGAACATGAAACAACTAAATTCTACACATTAACAAGACCATCATCCCTAACAAAATTTAGAGTCGCCCCATCTTCTGGTAATCCAAATCAGAAGCTGCCGCGTCTGTAAATTTTCACTGGGACCCTAACAAAATTTAGAGTCGCCCCAGCTTCTGGTAATCCAAATCAGAAGCTGCCGCGTCTGTAAATTTTCACTGGGGTACGAAATATGGATGCTTATATGAATTTTCCAAAGTCATAACAGGAAGATTCAAATAATGCTTCTAATGCGCTGCAAGTATGAAAGAAGAAAATTCTCTCAGCTAGAGAGGTCAAAACAATAAATCCTGCTAGCGAAAAGCACATAACTTAGGATGAACCAATTAGTTATCAATACAGAAAACGCAGGGATGAAACTAGTGATAAGCCTCCCCTCAAAGATAAGCCTCCCCCTCAATGATAAGCCTCCCCTCAATGATAAGCCTCCCCTCAATGATAAGCCTCCCCCTCAATGATAAGCCTCCCCTCGTTCTCAGAAGAAGAGACGTCCAGATGCCCTCACTGGCATGGCTTTCTTATCGCCAGCTTCCCTCGCGCAAAACCACTCGCTTGTGGAAAAATTAATGAATACATTCATAACAAAGGTATGAATAGAAATAAATGATGATATGAGCGAAAAAGTGAACAATTTAATTCACTATATATAATAATTTAATCAAAATATAAGAAACTATCATTAATGATATAACGAATTAAATACGACACAAGAACGAATTTTCGAATTACGGCCGAGCCTTCAACAGAACAATTTATTATCAGTTCTGTTCGTCAGTGCTGTAGTGACATATTTCTTGCTACGTTTGACATTTCTTTTAGACTTTCTTTATCAACTTTTTGTACCCCTGTAATTCCTTTTCAAAACCTTCATGAATATCTATTTGTGTGCCAGAACGTTTATTACTTTGTCCATGCTCGTAACTCCTTTTGAAACCTTCAAGACAAGCTTTTAAAGCTTCCAGACAAGCGGCATTTCACGCACATCTATAAAATTCTAGAAGTCACTGCATTAACCTTCTATTTCAATTATATTAACTTTAAATTTCCCCACTGTTAACCTTTTTTAATGCGATAATTTCATACAAATACATCTGTATTTGTATGAAATGCACTTTATACAAATACATCTGCCACGAACAGCATGGAATACGATAGAGAGCTCAATGAAAATGAGACCATACGAAAAAACAATCAGAATAATAATGAATATAATATCCAATACTAATAACAATAATAATATGAATACATAGAATAGCGTAGAAATATCAGAAAGCTGCAACATCAATTAACGATCGACTTTGCCAACAACAGCAACAACGGCTAGCAACAGAACTAAAAACAACGGCCGGCGTCACCACTAACAATAACGGCCAGCGTCACTACTAACAACAACGGCCAGCGTCACCACTAACAATAACGGCCAGCGTCACTACTAACAACAACGGCCAGCGTCACCACTAACAACGGCCAGCATCACCACCACTAAAGACAGCCAGCATCATCAATAACAACAACGGCCAGGATCACCACCACTAAAGACCGGCCAGCATCATCACTAACAACAACGGCCAGCATCACCACCACTAAAGACAGCCAGCATCATCACTAACATGCACGGTCAGCATCACCACCACTAGAGACAGCCAGCATCATCACTACCATGCAAGGTCTACGCCACAGCCAACAATGCAGTACGCACAAGTCAGAGCTGCGCTACGCGCTCGCATTACGCCGGGGTCTCAGCGCGGATTTACGCACGCGGATTTACGCACGCGGATTTACGCACGCGGAATACGCACGCGCTTCGTGCCGCGCAGCCCCAAGCAAGCATCACGGGGGGATTATAGGAGCCCTGATGGCTGGGGAAGGGTTGGGAGGTGAAGATTGATGACGAGAAAATATTTGAGAATGCTCGAACTTATTTTATTGCAAACAATTTTTGGAAACTTGTGCATTAATACATTGTGCTGCCTCTCCAATCAACCATCAAAAGTACCTAATTGTTCTATCGCTACTTGCTCCGGATTAATGATATTATTCTGTTAAGTCAGATAGAGTAGAAATTAATTTTAATGCTAATAGTGTTAAAATATTATGAATAGTGGACAATGTTGTCGGGATGAGGGGGAGAGTGTAGGTGAAAGAAAGAAGTACGATGTCGAGGGCGAGGGAGTTGTAGGAATTGTTACTTTGGCAGGATGCAGCCCCTACCTACCTCAGTACTAGGAAGGAATCCCAGAAACGCGGTTCGTAAAATGAAGATTGATGTTATATGGATAATTGGCTAGTATAAAATATCTGCTAAATACAAAAGGAAAATATAGTAATAGATTTTCAGATCCAATGATATGCGCATTGTTTATTTATAACCCCTCCTGAATTCCACCCTATTAAGAGAAACACTGAGGCCCATCGAATGAAATTCTGCGCTCTATTGTGCAGTAAAATAGCCAAGTAATAAGCCTGCTAATGATCACTTTAGTTTATTTGTTCGAAAATGTGTAGCGGTTTGACGAAATATAAATCGCAAAAATTCATATTCAACCTGAATAACCGCAATATTTCTGCACAAATGAACAGGTATCAAGGTACATCAAAAATGACGTCAGGCAAATGTGTATAATTATAAGATAAGAAAGTCAAACAAACTGTACTCACAATGTTGATGAACTCTTGACATGTGATGACTTTGGTAGCTGCGTTGTTGTTGTCGTTGTTGCTGGTGTTAGTGAGGCAGCGCGCCTGCAGTTGAGTTCGTTTGTGTTCGTTGACGTTCGCGACGAAGTCAGGGTGTTCGAGAACAAGCCTGAACTCCGGCCACGGGATCTCACCGAAGCCCTCGTGATCAAACTGATCAGAGCAAAGAAATACAGTTATTACGATATGTTAGAGTTATCCTTAAGAATCGTTAATTAAAATGATAATTAAACTCTAATAAAATTGAAAATCTATACGTAAACCAAAATACAATGAAATGATTAAACTCCACTGCAAACGAGACTGTAAGACACAAGATCTTTTCGGCTAATAATAATAATTATAATGAGATTCGAAAATGAACTAGAAAACTAATTTAAAGAATGAGAGAGAAATAACAAGCACGATTTATATCGGATTTACATGTTTAGATGTATGTTGATGTTATTATTATTATGATTTATATGTTATATATATGAAATAAAGTTGTTTTACAATGTTCCTTACGTTTAGTTTGCCTATTTTTTGGTGGCTACAATTAACCCGTATAAAATATTCTGAGTTATAGTTTTTAAATTTTTATATAAAAATATAAATATATTATCCTGCGGAAAGTCTGCGGATATTGTAAATATGCATTTCAAAAGCCGTCTCAATGAAGATAAATCACGCAATTCTCATTAAAGTGCACTACGTATCGATAATACAAGAGAAACTAAAACCATTCACCGACTCACAGTGAAATATTCAAATCAAACTCAAAAATCATAAAATTGAACATTTCAGTAGGATGCAAAATTTTAATCTACCAGAAGTAGCATACATGAGTGCAGGACTAACAGCTTCTTCAAAAAATGCTTCATTTGATTTTCGAATGAAAATACACACAAGCTGGCTGAGGGGATTGAGTAGCAGTCAGAGTGATGCCAAAATAGTGCAGTGAGTGGTCACAAACTCGTTTTCTCTGAACCCAACAAAGAAAGTGAAACATTTTTTAGGAATGACTATAATATTACAAAATCTCTAACCCTCGGTGCCTGTCGCTGTCGGCATCAGCTTTCAGTTACCACTAGGCGAGTGGTGAAGAACCAAGTCCTCAGAAAGCAGATAGATTCAGTTGCCACTCTACATAAATCTTATACGTAAAAAATATTAATAATTTGGCATTTATGTCCATTGCTCAGTCCTTTGGATATTTTTTTTATTGAAAAGCGTTAATTTCATTAGCACTAAATGAAAAATCAATCCGTAAACTTTATTATTTAATAATGAAGTTACCTTGTCGAAGAGCTGCTTCCATTTCTGTGGAAAAAACAATCATAAATAAATTGACAAGTTAAAATTTATTCAGAGAACGATTGATTAAAGGAAAAACAAATAAATTTAATAGATTTAATTTGAAAAAAGAAACACATACATGAAAAATGAACACACCTTAATTCACAACTCTGACAACAGTCTATATTTAGATTCAGAAGATCAAGATTTAGGTACAATTTTATAATCAATAATAAACTGATTATATATAAGCATAATTTCAAGATAAGTTAATAGGAAAAATTGAACATTCCAACTGACGTCACTGAGGAGCCGTCGACGCTGCTCGCTCTCGTCCATCTCGGAGTCGCTTTCGCTCGCATCGATCAACTCGAAGTCTTCAAAGTCGCTAAATGTTGCCAACATTCGATCCGTCGAGCCGATAATTTCCTCGAGAGAGGGCCCCATAAGAATGTCATCTTCATCCTCTTTTCCGCAAAATTTTCCTGAGTTCTCTCGATGGCAATCTGGTGAAATTTTTTGCGGCGATCGAAGAAGTTGTCGTAGAGGAGATCGGAAAATTCGGTCGCTTTGTCTGGGTGGTTTATTGGGTGCCGATGATTTTATGTTTGTTTGTAATTTTTTCCCCACAATGGGGGATAAAGCCTCTGAATAACGAGATGGATATTGATGAAGAGGCACTGGAGTAGAAGTAGTGAACGCGCGTTCACTTTGAAAGCCTGGATGGAGAAATCGTGAGGAAGTTGGTGGACGTCGGTTTCTTGATCTGCTGAAGGCCGCTGAATCCTTGGTTAGGGATATGCGAGGAGACGGAGGCGAACGAAGCACTCGAATGAAAGGTTGGATACCAACAGAGGAAGGTTGAATAAAATTAGAGTGTTGATGTTGACCAGCTTGAATTGGTGCCTGATTCTGCTGTGGCGGGGTCCAGTGAATTTGAGGTACGGTCTGCTTTGAATCCTGATGGAAAAAACCTGGCGGTTTGGATGAATCACAGAGAATTTGAGCTCCCACATTAGCTTTATTGGCCTGCAACATAGTCTTAGGCGTCTGTGTGACGTCGGTCAGCCTACGATGCACGTCGAGCTCGGACGAATTACTGACACATATATTGGTCCCTCCACGCGGAGAGTCGCGGCGCAAGGATAGACTAACAGGTAAAATTTCCTTCTCAAATGATTTTCCTCTATTTTTGTTGTAACTATTCTTTGCCTCTGAAGACAAGTCGCACTTTTTACTTTTAATATCATCGACAACGTCGTAACCGAGTGATTTAGAAGAGACTTTATTTCCACCATCAGAGCATAAAAAATCTTTCACGTTTTCTTTATCACTATCGAAAAGAAAAGAATAGTCTTCAGCGGACTTGGATTTCAGTGCCTGAGATATTGAAGAAGTCAGGGTACCAAAAATTGTGGACTTATCGGGATTAACGGGAGAAGAAACATCTTTTGAGAATTCTGTTATCGGAATAACTGAATGTTGAACTGGCGGGAAAACTGCGGAGGTCGGGGAGACGGTCGGAGTCAGTAGATGCGACACAGACGCTGTTGCGGACGTGTGCGAATGAGAGGCTGACGGAGATGCGGACGGTTGGGTCGTGTCCCGGCTACTGTCCGGAGAATTAGATAAGTCGGAAGCAGGCACCAAGACATTATAATGGCTGGCTGCGGCTTCTTTCACTGGAACATACAAGGCGACATCATCTATCGTGGCTTCGATTCCTTTAGCAGTTGGATCCACAACGCTGCTATCCAATTTGCGTCCAGCTGTTGATGAGCTCTCTTCTTCTTTGGCAAAGATATTCTCAATGATGTTTCCAATACCAGTACCTAGTGAACCAAGGTAAGGGCTAGGAAGATCTGTTTCGGGGTTGAAACGACAATTATCAGGATTCAAGTCACTGTCAGTGGTGTCTGTTAGGTCGAGATCAAATTCAGTGGTATCGTTGAGCGATAAGTTGACATCTTCTGCCGTGTCGTTGAGCTGATCGGTCGACATGTTGACACGTTCAGCGTGTCGTCGCGGGAGCAAATCACTTTCATCCATGTTGAATAGCTCACATTCAGCACAAAGAAACTATTACGTGACGATGAACGTTTATTCTAAGGGCGCTGAAGAATGGAGAAGGTAGGAAATCAGCGTATAAAGATATGGTGTATCTATAACTCAATTGAACATAAAAGATTTTTACACGTAAACTGGAGTAAGATCTAATTAAAATCTGCAGAGGCTGCGAATAGGATAATTTAAGACAAACCATTAATGAAATGAAACACGCAGGAAAAATATTTGAAAACATTGTTCATTTAAATCATTGAGGGCATTACATAGACATAGCTAAGGTTCACAAGGTATAAAAAAATTAGGATCGACTAAAGTTAGTATACTATTTCAAAAATGCAGCTAAATTCAGAAATAAAATGAAATATAATTGAGTCCAGGCTTTAGATCAGGATAGAATATATATCTAAAAAAATTTTAACATTTCATCAATTTTTCGATCACACGCATTAATAACAATATAGTATGATATATTTAAATCCATGAGTTTTGAACCTACTTTTGACAGCAATAAACCCACTATAGTTGTGCCTACATGTTGCGCATGGGCTTTCGTCAAAACCCCAACCCTATTTCATTACAATTTCTGCGACCCTCTCTCGATTTTGGCGTCAATTTCCGCGTCTCTTATGCCTCGCAACTAGGGCCAGATTCCCCACAGCCCCACGAGTGAATCTTGACGACAGCTTTTTATCAAAACAGAAAATTGTCATTATAAAATGGCATGATAAATTGATAATACTAATACTAGCTAAGCCTTCATTCAAGAGGATTAGCTGGACACTTGACAAAATAGTGCACAAGGTTAACGCTAGGTAAGTTGGAGCCTCACATATCCAATTTCGACATATTGCAAATATACAGAAACTTGAGAAAAGGATTTTTTGAGATTTTCATGTTGTGTAGCGAGTAGTCCTGCTGATTCCGCTCCCCGTGCTAGGACTTGTATCCTGTATTGTGTATCGATGCTCAGCTTAGCGGAAATGAATTTCGTACTTCGTATATACTTCATCATGAAGGCTTCAAGGGACCCTCGTCAATCCTGGCTTACAGTTAATGACAAATTTCCCTAAAGCAATAACTATTTAGTCTGAAGTAATCATTTCCCCCCTCAAAGTGAGAGTCACTCTGAGATGTTCTACGATCTTGCTGCTGCTGCTGCTGTATGTGTCCAGCTTAGAGAGGTTAGCATGAAGCTCTTGTAAACACTAGTGCTCCCCATCGAGTCGAGATTTTTCATGCTGATTTATTTCTGGTTGGAGAAGTGAGGTGAATCCTTTCTTCCTACACTATCACACAAAACTTATGAAATAATTACTGTATCACTACTCCACCATAAATCTCATTAAAGCATAGCATATTATAGCAGTATCTCATTATAGTTATGCATTGGCAGCATTGTATACCGACGAATTTTAAACTTACCAAAATTCAATCGCTATAAATTTTTTTTTAAAGGCCTCCCACATTCACCATTCCAACTGCCCATCCCAAGTCCTCTGCCGGCCCAAACTCGCGTCCCCGGGCAAAGCGATACCTGCGTTCCCATTGCGCCACTCATCCACCGCCATCCGCAAAATGTCGTCCCCGGCCAGTCGTACATTATGTAAAACAGCATCAACTAGGCCACGGACGGAGTGGAGTGACGATATGAACGCAGGGAGCGCGATGTCCTTTGACATACGGATACCCAGGCCTCCCAGCCGGACCGGCAACACAGCTTGTTCAAGAGATTATGCAACAACACAGCATGATCGCTATAAATTGATTCATCAACTCAGTCGTTTATAACACATTCATCGCGAAAATACTCACCTATGCATTCAATTAATAAGTAAATACTTGTCAGCTTCATAGTTAAGCGAAACACCACGAGGCGTGTCAGCTCTCAGGTCAGGTCATCGATTGGCCAAGTTATTTCGGTTACACGGCCTCTCAGTTCCACAAACTAATGGCTAATCTCTAATTAAGCAGAGAGATCATTCAAAACTGTACTGTTGCCGCCTAGTGTGCTTTGCTACGCGCAGATACCTTAACTCGCGCCTGCATGATGTCGCCTATTTTGCTATTGCTACGCGCAGGTACCTCCAAGTCACGCCTGCATGATGTCGCCTACTTTGTTACTGCTACGCGCAGATATCTCCAAGTCACGCCTGATGTCGCCTACTTTGTTACTGCTACGCGCAGATATCCCTAAGTCGCGCCTGATGTCGCCTATTTTGTTATTGATACGCGCAGATACCTCCAAGTTGCGCTTATTGGTGCCCCCTACTACTGCTTCACTCAGTTACTTCGAAGTCGAGCCTAAAAATGACACCCAATTTAGTACTAGTTTTAAACTACCGCAGATTCGAGGCTATTCAAATTCATAATACCTACAACTTGATCGAAAAAGCTAATAGGTGTAAAGACTTTTTTGCGAACTGCATTTGTTGTTTATTTGGAATAGTCATTTGTCATGTGCTCGTGTAGTTTAATTGCTAATTCGTCTTTTAGTGTGGCAGAGGAACTGACATCGTGGCAAGCAGTTATATGTTCATTTAGTTGTTCGTCAACGCCGGTTAAAACTGCCAACGATATTTCGGTGCGTTAAATGATTACATTTTTTATACCATGTTCTAAGCTCTGATATTTGTTACTATTTAGATCTTGTGTGTACATTTCGCAATAGAGTTATCCAGTTTATGAATGTATAGTGGTTCTTTCCGATACATCCTTCAATTTAATGAAATTTTGAATTTTGTAATTGGAACCGTGATTATCCTAAAACATAATGCGAACGTTTCGGCAAATCAATAAAAATGCGAACCTTTAACCACAGGGTTTTTATAAGTTCTGGAGAAAAGAGTATTGGGAAAAACACGATTGCTGATGAATAGTAACAGACAACCGAAAGGGAATACACGAGTGTAGGGAAGATTAGGGAATGCTTAAGAATAGACGAATTTATTGAAATAGCATAGAATAGAATAGAAGTGTCGGCACTGAAGAAATAGGCCCATGGCCTGTTGCCGATTCTTGCATTTTTCGTTACTTGGTTTACAAGGGGTCCGGCCTTTGGAACCCGATCTTTCCATAACTGACGATTGATTGCGATAGCTGCTAGACTTGTTGCCTGGTCCAAATAGATGAATGTCGAAGAATCGACAAGTGTTCGGGAATAAACCAGTATTATAGGGAATATGCGAGTGTTTGGGAATAGATGAATTTAGGGGAATGTACGACCATAATAAAATAGATTTTGCTAGAAAATAGACGACCGATGTGAATAGATGACTGATAAATATCCTACCAGCTATCAGTGAATTAATACAACTGTTGCCAAGTCAGAACATTGAGAGCCACGGACGTTTTGCATACGGGAGGCTCGTTAAGACATCACCAATCTCTGGTGACTTGGGCAGTTGGGCTAGCAACGCAAGCGTGGCAGGCAAGGCCCTACAACGTCACCACTCATAAAAATAAACGTCAAATTGTCCAAATTATGTAAATTGTGACTAACTTTCTTACGCGCTGCGCGAACAGTGCAATGCAGTCGCAGCACAGAAAAATGACTTTTTCGCAGAGCCAAACTGGGTCAGGATGACCCACACAAGGACAAAAAATATAACTCAGTACTCACAGCAGTGAGTGACAGAGAGCGCATTTTCTCGTCGACGTAAACTTGAGGTCACGGACGGACAGACAGACGGACATGGCGAGCACAATAGTGCATTTATTCCATAAATGAGGAAATGCGCTAAAGAGCATCGCTGCTTGGACAGTAAGCCACTAATTTCTTTGAGTGCAGGGGTGGGTGCAGGCAACCACGTATACAGGATGCAGGTCGTTAGAGCTCGGCAGGATCGAGGTGCTGTCATCTAAGTTGTCACTGCAGGTAAACAAGGCCTTGTTGGTTAATTGTTAGTGAAAACACCAGTTTTTATGCGTGAGTAGTTAGTGCAATCACCAGGAAAGATTGTGGGTTGTTTCTTGCAATCACGAGTTATGATGTGTGAGTAGTTAGTGCAATCACCAGGAAAGATTGTGAATAGTTAGTGCAATCAAGAGGAAAGATTGTGGGTTGTTTCTTGCAAACACCAGTTTTGATGCGTGAGTAGTTAGTACAATCACGAGGAAAGATTGTGAGTTGTTTCTTGCAATCACGAGTTATGATTCGTGAGTCGTTAGTGCAATCACGAGGAAAGATTGCGGGTTGATTCTTGCAATCACGAATTATGATGTGAGTCGTGCAATCACGATAAAAGATGGCTGAAACTTTTATCTAAGAGTTTTGTCGAGTGAACCGTTTGAAAGTCATGCATGAGATTGTATTTTTGCAATCAATATTTTCAGTGAATGAATCGTCCGAAGTCATAATCATGAGTGAAAGGTGGAGCATAATTTCGAACTGCAGAAACGATATCAAAGATTGTTTTCCAAACATCCAATGCGTTTTTTGTTAGCAAAAGAATAAATAGGTTATTTGAAAGATTGATTGTATTTTACTTTACGGTCCTTCGAGTCCGACCATTTAATTTGAGGTTAAAAATGATCCATTCCGATCATCCATTAACAAGTATAGGCAAGTATATACGAGTATACTTATAATGTGCCCAAATAATGCAATTGTAAGTTGAATTCTATACTGATGCGTTAACGTAGTAGATATAACGTTTGAAATTTTAACGTGCATTTTTTTAACATTTTACTCAGAACCTGGTTCTACGTATGAAAGATTTACTCCTGGGACGCCACATGCGTCCAAATCACTGCTTTTTCAATGAAAGAATCTCTTTACCACCCAGTGCACTCAACTTCTTCTCCGATAATGAATAGCTTGACGGAGTCTGTACGACAAGCTGTGTCCTGAGTCAATAAGATAAATGGGCCTAACAATAAATAATCCCTTAATGATGTAGAGGAGACTACGCCACAAACACAGACGAGTAAACTCTTTCTAAGCTGCACGATTTCTCTTGAACGCCACGGCGTTTAACGGCGATTGGGGGGCGCCGTGCGGCGATCGTTGGTTTCTTTAGGGGGGAGGAGGCGCACGATGGGTCTCACAACACGAGGGGAAACCATGCGTCATCTTGCGACGTTATGAGCGCGCGTCTTGTGACGTGCGACGTTAAGAGCGCGCGTCTTGTGACGTGCGTCGCGACGCATCTTGCACG